CTACACGGATCACTAACGCTGACACCGAACGATGCAACACTACCACAACACACAACCCCAAGATAGTGCCAATTCGTGTGGTCATACATGAAGTAACGACCCATTGTTCACCATAATGTTCAATCGATGTTCACGTGTTCAAACACACAGGAATCCCAACCGAACAAAACTAACCCTTTATGGCCGATTATGACACACGATGAGGACTAAACAAAATAATGAATTTTATAAACAAATAAATACCCAAACTAGAGAAAGCACAAAAGATTTTAAAAATAACTGTTACAACGGTATCTATCAGAGGTTATGTAATTAACACACAGGAAGCCCATACCAGCTTTGAGAGCTGAAGAATGAAAAATAAAACTGAAGTGTTGTTTACGTCGTCCTTGTTCTTTATTCAGTGATTTCGAGCCTCTGTAAAATAGACCCTAGAGGAGAAGGAATTTTTTTTTAAAAAATCGCTAATATTGCTGACATCACTACTAAAGAACTTAGGATGACGTAAACAACACTTCATGCGAGTAAATATTACTACATTCAGCTCTCAAGCTTGTATGGGCTTCCTGTGATGATAACGTACTGTCAACCTTCGCGGATGCCTCACGTTAAAAAAATCATTTCCGCATTGCATCAAAAAATAATAAATAATACTGTAATGTTATACATCGTTTTCAAGCTAAATGATTATATAAAGAATACGTCTGCGAAATTATTTTATGAAAAAATTATTTTATACGATGACACAGGAATCCCATCTCGACACAGATTGGACAACTGCAGCTTCAAACAACAAGAAAAGGCTCGATCAGCACCCCCACTTTTCAAGTTGTTCAATCGCCACTGAATGGGAGAAGAGAGAGATGGAATCACTGTAAGGAGATTCCAAGATGGGATTGCATAACAAACCCCATCCAATGTTACAAACCTCGYGAGGCCCTTAATGGCAGGGACATTGGTAGGACACCATAGCCTGCTAACATAGGGATGATAAATCATCAAGAATGGTTGAAGAACAGGACAGGAATCCCCCTATTTTCACTTAATCTATGTGTACATCCCTGCTTTCTGTTGTCACACAACTAGCCTCAACTTCCAATAAAGCCCAGTTGTAGCAGAATTCATATACGTAAAGTTCTAATGTGTAATTGTTTTAATTTTTACAATAAACATGTTTATATTTATTCAAATACAATATTCCTTCTGCTACTGGGAGTCTAGAGTTGCTTCATATGTTTTTGCAACCCAGACATTGCAGAGTACCCTAAAAAGTAGGGGGAGGGAACAGAAAAATTAGTGGATATTGGGGGGGGGGGGGGGGGCTTGATAAACTGCCGAGGTGGGGAGCAGATCCAAGGGAAAGGTTGTATGGGTTGCAATTCCTCTATGAAAATTATTTCCTGCACTGTTAGTTTTTTAGTGTTGTTTTTTTTTTTGGATCAGCCTCTTTTACAGTAAGATGCCCCTTGAATGCAGAACTCCCTCTTTAAAAAATGCTGAATCTGCTCCTCCACGTCTGCCCTCCCACTCCAATATACATCCTTGGCTATCAAAATAATAATAATGTTATATACTGATATGTGCTTAAAATATTAACACATAGTAAGTGCAGGCATCAATTTTGCAGTATATTTTACAAAGGACGTTTTGTACTATAAGTGGTAGTCAAAAGTATGCCGACAGGCTATCAATTCAAAATACGTGACTTTGTAGTTAAATAAAAGAGGGAATGATACACAAGCTGAAAACCCATGATATATTTTCAGTCCTTCAGCCATTTTCTCCCTAACACGTGCACTATTTTAACTGGAACATAGGACAAATTTCACCTTAGAAGAAAGTTACTGGTGAGTGACCCTGATCTTTCTACTGATAGATAAATATAGATATTCAAAATGTGGTTGTACATGTGAATACTTAGAAAATTATTTTTTCCACACATATATTTACAAATTTTATTAGCCAAGCTTTCGCACAACTGGTGCATCACCAGGACAATGGCTAGTGAGACAGTTTTTTTATGTTAACTAGAATTAACTATTAACTATCCTAGTTAATGTAAAAAAAAATTGTCTCACTAATAGCAGCCATTGCCCTGATGATGCACCAGTTGTGCGAAAGCTTGGCTGATTAAACATAGGTAGAAACATAATTTTCTAATGTTGATATATTTTTCTAGAAGATTCCCAGTTGATTTCCCTTTGATAAATCAAGCACTGTAAATTACAAAATTATACTTTCATATGAGATACACCTTACAGTAATTAAGTTATGATTGCATGTTATGATTGTCTTATTAATGATGAATGCAGATGCTCAAAATTTCCAACTCTTTAGACACAAGTGAGAATTACACTTATAGCTACAAGGAAATGAAAACTAGAGTACAAGGTATTCTATTCAGACATGAAACTTGTTTGGTGTACGCTAAAYAATAAATCATTTTGTTTCCATTTAGTGTTACTGAGTCATGTACAGTGTTCTTTGCATTTGATTTTAGTGTCACTAAAACCATGTTGTGTAGTTAATAATAATAATGTATTTTTCACGCCAGAAATACAGTTAGCAATAATCACTATTAATACTTCTAACAACTTCAAGCTTTTTCAAGTTCAGCAGCTGCAACTTTATCATTGGTCTTTTGTTGCATTTCCTTTTCATATTCTCTCACATCTTCAAAATTCATTTCTGAATAAAAGGTAAAAACTAAAATGTAAGCTGCATGTAAGGAATTGGAACACAGGCATTGAGGTACAGTGTAAGGACAGTTGGGAAGTCCAATACCAGTGAATCAACTGAGGTTTGTGGCCCCTCATACTTTCTGTTTTAAAGGAAATCAAAAAGTATTTAAGAGTGGTGTAGCAGAAGTACACTTGCCTCTCACATCTGTGGTCTCTGTTTGATTCCTAGACTAGCTGTCAAATGTGGGTAATTTCCATTTATTGAATTGAAATTTGATCTTTGACTTAGTCATGCCCTGACTTCTATCAGCCTAGAGGTTGTTTCAGGGTTTGATCTGTCAGTTAGTCATGCCCTGACTTCTATCAGCCTAGAGGTTGTTTCAGGGACATTCGATCTTAAAGAGTTGACATCAGCCCAAAGATTGTTGGTATGTCTAAATGTCAAAAAGTGTGCCTTGTGCTTTAAACACCTTCATAAAAATGACTGAGAGAGCTCTCAAGGGCAATAAGTCTATAGAAAGCAAGGATTTAAAAAGATTGGTAATTAATAGATAATAAACACAGGAAAAAAATAGATTCCCAAATTGGGAATTGTTGGGAATTTCCTTGAATTCCCAATTCGAACACCAACTTTGGGATTTATTGTTGGGAATTTAAGGAAATTCCCAATAAATTCCCAATTTGGGAATCCGGTTTTTTCCCCTTTGAAATATAGATGAGATCAGGGTTTGATACGTACCATACCACAGATCAATCCATGCAAATGCTTGTCTATGGCCAACTAGAAGAATATCTTGTACACACTATTACATCATAAGAAGGTACAGTTATACACCTACAGTATCAAATGTATCACGGGGGGGGGGGGGGACCTATGGTGCTTGTGACCCCCCTTTCATAATAATTGAGTATGCAATTATTAATTAAACAATCGGTCTGTAACCCGTTTTTAATCTTTACCTTGTGTACATATGATTCCACTCGCTGACTTAACCCCCAGACATCAAATGTAACATTAACCAATTTATAAGAACACATAATCGGTTGATGGGTTTCCTGCAAAACCATTCATTTTTAAATCAAAATAAATTATTGATTCACATTCTGAGAGCAAATACTCTTTACAAGTAATACTGCACTTGGACCGTTTTCTAACCAATCCACCTCACCCCTCAACCCCCCCAAAAAAACAATGTTACCTGCCAACCAGGTTCCAAAGGTCCTCTGCCAGTAACTTTTGATTTAAAGGTTCTACAGTCCTACCATACAAGCAAACAAACGAAATTTTTAGTGAAGGCCTACACTAGCAACAAATTATTTTGTTGCATGATTTAAGTGGCGAATTTATGCCAACAGATCATAGCCAATTTGCTACAACTTGAAACTTGGCAACCTTCAACTGAAAATCGCAGAGAGCTAACTGCATATCTAAATTTCAAGTACATTTGGATATGCAGCAACTTGGTTGCAAACAAGTCTTTGTTTATGTATAATATGTGAGTTGGAGATACTATAAAATCGCCATTGAAATTGCTGCTCAAATTGCATAATAAAATACTAATGAAAAATGATACTCAATATACTACTCGACTCTATGATGTAGTGTTAGTATGTACACAAGTGCTAACCTCTTCAGGAACGTAATACTTTTCAGGAAAAGTATCATATGCAATGTCTACGTGAATGACCTCTCTAGAATCCAGTGAGTCTTTTCCAAGGTCAAAACACTAAAAATTATAATATTATGATCAGAAAAATGAAGGCAAATCTGGAAAATGTAGTCATAACTTTTTATAAATTAGTGAATCAAGATTTTCAAAATTTGGGTGGGGCAGTGGAAGGTGTCATTCTGAAAAGGGTCTTAAATGACATTTGCTTTATGGCTTCATCAACCACAATATTACAATGTGGCCAACTTATGGCTATTTCTTCACAACATTACTTTACATACAATAAGATAATTATTGTCTGTCAGCGTAAACTGAGATTCTTACATTGTCTGTACATCCATTGTCATCAAGGTATTTAGTTTCTATTTTTACTGAAAATCTTGGCAGAAATGAGCACTACAAGAAAAATGTTCAAACATTATTGGCAAACCCACATCTCATTAATTATTAATTACTATAACTACAAATTTTTGTTCCAGGAGAAATATACTGAAAGAGTTACTTTTTCTTCTAGTTGAAAAAAAAAGCAAGTATTAGTTTCTAATTTATTAGCAAGTTTCAAATGAATTTTGAAACAACAAAATAAATAAAAAATGCACACTTACATAATATTCTTTGAGTAGTGGATGTTTGGTTTGCATAGATTAAAGGACGATTATGGAAAAAAGATAGCAATAAGGTAAGAAGTAAGTCAAAAAATTAATGAAAATACAAAACTTTTATATAGGTCAATTTAATCTTTTTTAAGTAAATGACACAAGGTTTGAAATTGGATTTTGGATTTATTTCAAAATCAACTTCCTCCAAGATTATATACACCTGATTGAAAAATCGTTGTCGGTTCAAAAAAAAAGGTTATATCATCAAAGCTAAGACTGAAGGGGAGCATGTGTATTGCATGCTTATTGCAGTTTTCCCTTCTTGTGCACATTTTATGCATCATGGCTTTGGCATGTTGTTAATCTAGGTCGACCGACTTTGCTCTACTGTGCATTTTTACATGTCTATATGCAAATATAATACACATTTCAGAGTACCCAAAATCCTTTTTGATCTTAGCTTTGATGGTATGACCTTCTGGAACCCAAATACGTTTTTTCAATTAGGTGTATATTATAGGAATGGATCATAGGAACATGACAATAATTTGGTTATACTGTCTTGGGAATTGAAAATTATTAACTCACCTGTTATTGTAAATGGATAAAAATTCCAAGCTTTCTCCACCACATAAAATAAATTTGGAATATAGGATCTCACCCAAGTTGGTAAACGACTGTAAAAATAAGAAAATTTGTGAAAAAGAGGGAAAATTTAAAAAAAAWATTAATACATAGACTTCTTTATCTTGGGCTAAGATTTACCCATTTCAAACCATGTGTAATTTGCTTGAGAAAGAGATCCTTTGTTTGAGTTGTATCCATATTCAACTGTCTTCTCCTGCACTGTTAAACAAAGAAATGATACTCTTGGGAATGACACATGGTCTGAAATAGGTAAACATTACACCAAAGTTAATTTAGTCTATCCCTGTCCTTTTCACTGAACAAATTCAATTTTTCCATGACTTCACAGGTAGCATTATGGTTCCAGTGCCTCACTAGCAGAGTCCACAGGAAGCCCAAATTTCTAAAAAGATTTATATAACTTTTTTATAACTTTCCTGATGGAATAAGATTTCTCTGACAATTCCCTAACCTTGAAAAATAACTAGCTTGACCCATGACTTCCTCTGAGAACCCTGTCTTGGATAATTTAAAATCATAGCAATTTCTCCAAGATTGCCTTTTTTATATATTGACAAAATGTCCCTTTTTGGATAGGTATCAAAAATAATGTCAATATGAAATTACATCCATTTTATAACACAAAATATACCTTGATAAGTATATTCTTTTTTCGGTAAGCCTCCCTTTTCCATATTTTTCATCTTCACATTCTTCATTTTTCACAACATGTATACCCTCGCCTGTGTCGCTCTGTTCATTGCTGTGTCTGTTAATCATGTACAACTGCCCTATCCGATACTGAAAATAAGTAAGAAAATACACTTTCTTTAGTTTTGAAAATATTTTTCCTTCACTAACATAATTGAATTGCCAGCACACAAAAGACTGAATTCTGCATTTACAAATATGACCCATCAGGTATGTGACCAAGAAAACAATCCAATCACATATGATATTTATTTGGCTTTTGCTAATATAAATTCTAATTGAATGAGTCAAAACCCTTAGACTAGAATAATCTTTTCTTGAGAAAAACATCCCGAAGGTAACATATATAATTACACGATAATCATTGAATAAGACAGAGAAAAAACAACAATCACTATTCAATTTGTTTCAATTTCCATTTTAGTATCACGTTATTTTACTTTTCATTTTTTTCATTTCCTTTTCTTTTCTTTGCATATTCTTCTTAAGTATTTTCCAATTTTTTCCTGTACATATCTTCTCCGTCCTTCCTTCCTAGATCAATTTTCTTTAATTATTTCCCTCATGAATGATAAGACGATTGAAATGCTAAATTCTTGTTTTCACAGCTGATTAAACTCAGCTTCAAAAGAAAGAATGATAATAAATATGACGTAACGTTGATATTGTTTGACCTACCAAATTGAAAGTAAAAACATAGCCAAAATTTAAAATTTAAACTTTGAAAAGGAATAAGGCTATCATCATAGAAATATCAAGCCTTCTTTTCTTTAGTTTGGGGAGAATTGGCAAGCAACGGCTGTCGGGAAAAATATATATTATATTAATCTTAATTAATTGTCAAAGAATTAAAATACATAAATCCTTCAATATTATAACCGTAATTAGATCTGAAAATCACGGTTGGTGAACTGAAAAGAAAAAAAATATGTAATTTTCAGGTTTTCTATTAAAAGTCAAAATAAAATAGCTAGGGAAATGATGAAACCTAATACTGTCTTGTTCTTTTGCTTTCGATGTGGTTGCAAAGTGTCCCTTCAAGACCCCAGCCCGGGGACCCCAGCAATACTACTACTTATCGTCAAACCAAAGGAGATGAATATCGAAAGTTAAAACCAAAACCAGCAGTTTAAAATGATAAGATCCTGACATTTACGAAACTAAAAGGGTTTAATGAATACAAAGTCCTTAAAATATATGCTACGTACGAATTAAATAAATATTCATTGGCGCGCAACAAGTGAGCAAGAAAAAGACGACTAAAACTGATCACAAGAAAACTTACCTCTTCGACACTCAAAGGCATACTTATTCTGTACTCTTTCACCAACATTATAATAAATTTAAGGCTTATCAAGTTTGGCTCATCTCGGAATTAATAAATATACATCAAAGCTGTCTTCAAACACTGAGAAGTTTTCCGCTTTGCTGATCACTGGGCGGCCTGGCCAGCATCTCAGCCGAGGGGTTGACGCGGAACGTGGACGGACTGAACTTTTTAGAGGGAAATGTATGGGAAAAGTATATAAAACGCTGGAGAGATCTGGTTATAACAGTTTAACGCAAATGATTTGTTAAGTTAGTTTTGAGTGTCTGGATCAATAGGATTGGATACGTTCCTATCCCAAAATCCTTTGTAATGGGTGCATTTTGCCCTAACTTCTCCTACCCAGTACTGCCTAAAACACCTTTTTTCAACCCTTCAACTGACCTATTTCACTATGACGTCACTGCTTGTTTATGTGGGGGATAGAATCGCCAAATCCAATAGAAACAAAATTTGCTCCTAGCGAAACAGTTTAATCTAAAATGGCCTGGTTTTCAGATATAACRTGTTAATATGTACTAAAAAATATTCTGAGCATTTGCTGGCTATTCTACTTCTCTTAATGGATTGATACGGGTTTTAGAACAATTTTTGGTGAATTTGTGTAGATTTGACCCTGTCTGATGACCATGATCCTTTGCATTTAAATAATAGATTGTTGAAGATTGTTTTGATGTGATGTCTTAGTGAAATAGGGCAATTTTTGCCACGCTTACTTTCGTGTTATTGTATTGTGGAATCCGTATGATTTTTACAACATGTAATATTTCTGCCTCGTTGGAAATAAAAGATCCAAGGTTATAGGCTGACTGGACTACCTGTGGGGGGCCGATGCCTGGTATAGGCTGTTCCTTCTGTGCAAGGCAATAGAAGCCAAGGTTCTTTAAGGTACTATTTAGAAAGCTTTTATGTCCATGCTTTTATGGCCAAGCGTATATGTTTTTGAGTTCCAAACTGAACTGTGCAGTTAGAAGGTGCAAGCACAAAACTACGTCCAAAACATCTTTGAACTCAAAAAGTATTCAAAATTTTAAAAAAAGTTTTTAAAATGACTTATGTATTTCATTGTACTATATCTTTTATTCCTATAACAGAGCAGCTGTTGCTTTTGGGCCGGCTGTGACTGTGGTGCAACACAGCTAGCCCACTCATTAAAAAACATTCTTTAAATAAGTTTTTCTCTTACATATTTTTTACATAGAAAAAGATTTGATATTCTGTTGTGCTTGCTGAGGGTTTTTTTTCATTCTCCAAATCTTGACATGTTTTTCTATGACACTTGCTATTGTTTTTGAATGTTCAAAAAGAGCTGCATCAGCACTTCCTGGTAGATGGATAAAGTTCTCTGCTCCYGAACTGCTAAAAAACTTCTCAACAAGACCTTTGGCAGTTTGCCATTCCTGAAAAAAATAATTTAAATAAGGCATATGAAGTAATTGGTTTGTAATAAAGAATCAGAAACTGCATAGATTGTTTGAGGAGTAATAAAGGGAGGGAGGGAGGAAGAAGGGAGGGAGGCAAGAAGGGAGGCAAGAAGGGAGGCAGACAAGGAGGCACACAGGGACTGGAAAAAGACAGGCAGATAGGGGGAAAGGCAGGGAAGGAGGCAGGGAGGGAGGAAGGCAAAGAGAGAGGCAGGGAGGGGGATGCAGGCAGGTAGTCCAGCAGGGAAGGAGACAGGAAGGGATGGATGCTGAGGTAGAGAGGGGGGAAGGCAGTGAGACAGGCAGGAAGAGAGGCAAACAGGAAGGGGGAGATGGATGGAGGGGTCTAGCACAAAATGCAAGGGTTCCTTATGTTTCATGCAAATAAGGAAGGAGTCAGACATCTATAAAATAAGGGAGGCATAGGCTGATACAAGAATGTTTCCAGAAAATTGCTGTTATAATTAATCTTAAACTAACCTTATTTATAACATCATCAGCTCTCTTGTTATACGTTTTACTGATCAAAACACTTGTTTTAACATTGTTTGGATCAAAGCGCTTAAGTTTTGATAAAGTCTTTAACTGAGAAAGGCTTTCATTGGCAAAGAAATACTCATCAACAGCTGAACTCAAGTGTCCTGGTTTACACATCAAGTACTTTTGCCTTGCAGTTACATCATCAGCTACAATAGTATGATTAATAGGTGTTTTCATAAGACCAAAAATAAAGGCCAAGCGACTGACACCAATAGCTGCAGAAAACTGAAGGGCCTGTAAGCCTGAAATATGATTTCTCAGCCACAACCCAGTCCATGGATACCTTTCACCAATAAACATATCTTCTATCAAAGGGTTTATCAAGATCAATCCTGCTACTCGGTCCTCGAAAAGCTGTGCATAGAATCGTGCATTGGCTGCACCAATTTCTGATCCAACTAAAATAAAGGGTTTTGCTTGGGTACTTGATGCTGTAAAAAGTCTATGGAAATCTTCAGTCATTCTTTCAGTAGTGGATGGAGCGCCACGGTTTTTATCTTTAACATTTTCTTTTGACCTGTTTATAAAGGGTCTGTCGCTAAAGCCAAGCCCTGCTCTGTCAAAAAAACAAACCGTAGAAATCCTGGCTAACTTTGGTACAACAAGGGTCCATGCATCTGAGGACATTCCTGTGGGTGCATCAAGTATGATAGTAGGCTTTCCTTGTCCAACACAGCCCATGAACATCTTCTGACCAAATCCAATGTCGTAAAGCTCCCCTATGAAACATGTTAATATATATATCCACATTAGTTTGAATATAATTAGGCTAGGGTCTAGAATCTAGACTGTTGGTAAGGGACTTGTCAGTATTAGGAAGCTTCAATGGTGTAAACCAACATATATATAATGTTTAAAGTTCACTGGCACATTTTGCAGACCATATTGGGAATATCTGAACAATTTGCAGCCCTTCTTTAATACGTTACAGTAAGATAAGGTCTCGCTGTGTATAACCACAGGCTTCCCAGTAACTGCAAAGGTGCATGATACAAATAGACCAGTTTTGAGTTCCAAATTACTCTGTGTTTCTTGATTACAGACTCATTTACACAGGGTTAGCCTCAATTTTGCGCAGAATATTCACATGTTCCAGTCAAGGTCCATGGAGTTATAAAGTGTTTATATTGTTGAAATTCTGCATTCTTTACTTTCCCGTTGGTATTTGTGAACATTTAAACACTGATAGGAGGCTAACCCTGTGTAAATGAGTCTGTACTCAAGAAAATACAATAGTAATTTGGAATTTGGTATATTGTGGTCTGCTCGACCAGCTCTTGTAGATTAAAAGGGTTCTTGGGGGACCAGGGTTGCCATGTAGTGCACTACAGTAGCAGAGCCCACACTAACCATATCATGTTACCAGTATATAGCTGACAAAGATATGTTTCCTTTTTTCATTCATTTATGAAAAGCATAGATGAAAAACTTTATATAACTTATAGGAGTTTTCAATATTATGCGAATTCACTGAGCTGCTTGCTGAAATTTGTTTTTTAATGCTGTCAATCAAAAGTAAATAGTTGGCACCTTTTATATTTTTGACTGGCGGCAGTGAAAAACCAAGTTCCAATGGGCAACTCACAATTACAGATTTCGCCTAATATCGAAAAATGGAGTAATATATTCATTCACCTTGAGGCTTAAGCCCAATGGCTTCTCTGTACAAAGCTGCATGATTCAGAAAAGCAGGAACTAGAAGAACTAAAACAATATACTTCAAAACCCCAGAACACCTTCCTCCTTTATCTGGCTCTGGTGGAACATCCTGAACAGCTGTTTCTCTACTAGTGCTCTTAGATGATGCAGTAGAGTCACCTTGCTGTGAAAGACAACGTAAACAAAACGGGTTCCCTGTGTGTTAACTTGATTTTAAAACAATTTCGAAATTTAGAACCTTCAAAAAAGTAAATAAGCTTCGGAAAAAAATACTAAGGATAARCTACCTCTTTCTTTGGAGTATCCGTTCCATTAGCTCGTCTTTTAATCACCACCATTTTAGTCCTTTACAAAAATATCTTTCTTCGTGAATTTTCTTTAGAAAACTGAAGCCCACGTGGACTTAGTCACGTGATGAATCATCCGATTGCTCCGGTCAGCTGTTTTACCCATTAGAGTTCTAAAATTAGAATTTTTTTTTCAATTTTTGTACAAAATCCTTGGATTTTGGGATGGTTTTGTATTATAATCGTAAATATTTCAATCCTTCATAATGACTGTGTTCTCAAAGACTGTTAATTTTAATGATTTGGTACCTCTATTGCCGTATTTGGAAATCCCTTCGTCTTTGAAGTCCGTGTTTTCGTTCAGTAACCTTGTACATGCTTTGTCCGGAGCTGTGGTAAGTAATCGTGTTTTTTTTTGAAAATGTTAAAATATTCTGTATGTCTGATTTTATTTTTTTCTCAGGGAAGTGTTACGGCAATGAGCGTGTTTTATCCACTGGATACTGCCAGAACGCGACTACAAGGTAGAGAAAAGAAATTGTTATGTCGCGGCATTGTGCAATAATTTTTTTCATTAATGTCTTTCTTTTCTTTTCTTTTCTTTTACTCGGTTTAGTTGATGACAAAAGAAACTCCAAAGGCACAATTTATGTTTTGAGAGAAATAGTACAAGATGAAGGATTGTAAGCTTGCATTTTGTTTTATTTGACAGATGTAAAACCACAGGGATCCCAAAACATAGGTTCTACATTAAGGACCCGATCAGCCCCCCCCCCCCCACTATCCCACTACCAGTAAATATAAAGTTTTAGCATCAGTTGATAAGCAAATGATTCTTTAAAATTAGTGAAAATGAATCACTGAAATCTTTTTTAGGAGATAAACAAAAGTATATATTTTGTCTTTTGTGTGAAGGTCTGCAAAAAATGAAAATATGCAGGAAAACAATGAAAATGTGGTCATGTTTGTCGTTTGCAAGGGAATTCTTACTAGAACAGTTCTGATGTCGTTAGAACTAGTAAAATCTATGCTTTGATAAAATGGCAAGGCATGGCCAGGAAGGATAGAGAGAAGAGATTGAAGTAGATTTAATCCAATGTTTGTAGTATATCTCAATATTTTTTTCTGGTCTTCTGCTTTTCAGAATGTCTCTTTACCGAGGATTGGGTCCAGTTTTGTTCAGTCTCTTTTGCTCCAACTTCCTTTATTTCTACACATTTAATAGTCTCAAAGCTATATTTCTTAGAAATAGACATGCATCAACCTCGAAGCAAGATTTACTTTTTGGATATATTGCTGGTATGTAAATTAAAAAGGGATTTTAAAAATCAACTTCTACCTTGCAAGCTTCATGCAGTAACATTCCTACCCATCTATGTAATAATAACAATAATAATAATAATAATAATAATAATGGCGATATTGGGATAAACAGTGGATTCCACAGAGTTGCTCTTCTTCCACTGGATTCCAATTGGAATTTAGAAGTTGATTTTTGTGGAGGGAGGAACGCCGGAGAACCTGTAAAACCCTCAAAGAACAGGAGAGAACCAACAAACAACTCTACTTACATACAACACCGAGCTCAGYGGGACTCCACCCCGGGTCGCATTGGTGAGAGGCGAGCACTCACCGCTACACCACCCATGCTTCCCATATGTATATGCTTCCTCTATGTATGGCTACAAGGCTTAATTAAGAGGGAGAAAAACTGGAAAACCCGGTAAAAAACCTTCATGATAATAGGATAACACATCAAACATTTGACATGAGGCATGAACTTAGAAAGCAGTAAGAGACAGTGCCGTAGCATCTCATGACACCCTTTAACCACTTTAATTGTCGTACCTCACTACAAACTATTTTTTTACTTTTGTTCATCTGTGTCATTTACCAGATTATTTCTTCAGTCCAGCCATTATATCTTGTAATTCCATCTTACTATAGTCTCCTACAGCCGCTATTAGCGTCATCATGCAATGCCAATAGGGGCTGCAGCACTAGTACTAATAGCGACTGCATAGAAGACTATTCTTGCAGTTGATTTTTATTCATTAATTTTATTCTTTATTTCATTTTTATCATTCTCAAGGTATTGTGAATGTTTTGGTAACCACACCTCTGTGGGTGGCAAACACAAGATTAAAACTACAGGGTGTCAAGTTAAGGTCACAAAATTTGGAAAGCATAGCCACACCTAAATACACTGGAATTATAGGTAAGTGCAATTAAGGTATGAAGTGTGTCTCCATCCTACTATTAGTCCCATATCATGTACCCTCCAAAAGCTGTGCTCATATAAAGCAGTTTTCATATTATGACTATGAAAAACTTAGCAGTGTGTGTATGCCTTGTGCGACCATGATTTTTTTAAAATTTTGATTGGCTGATTTTTTTCTTGCTGTTGCCTTGTTATTGATCAAGCAGTCCTGAACCCTTGGCATGACTGTGTCTGCAACCTGCTTATGCCTTTTTTTGGATGTTTATAGAGTAAATTGTTGCATAATATAATTGGTTTGGTGTATGCCTTGCCATGTCAGCTTTTCACTGTCCAGGGCTTAAAATAAAGGTTGATAAGTTATAAGTCAAAATCATTGAACAAAGTTCCAGTTTTGGCTGGACATTGTGGATTTCCAGCCGTCATATGAAAATTACTCTGAAATCCATGAAATATGATCCTTTGTTTACAGATGGTATATGTCGCATAAGTAAAGAAGAAGGTCTGGGTAGCCTGTGGAATGGTATTGGGTCTTCTGTATTTCTTGCTGGGAATCCTGCTATCCAGTTTATGGTTTATGAGAGTATTAAAAGGTTTCTAAGAAGAAGTGGGAAAACGGTAAGAAATGACTGGGGGGAACTGCATACAATCAAAATGAATAAAAGAGTGGAAAGAAGTGAAAGGGAAATGGAAAGGTCGACTGAGAAAACTACAGATAATGAACAAGAATTGGAAGGAAGAATAGAAGGAATTGAAAAGGAAGGAATGAAGAAACATTGAAATCATGAAAGGATATATGAAGGAAAAGCAAGGAAGCATGGAGAGCATGTGTTTGCTAATACATCTACTCTCACCAATGCGACTTAGGCTGTTTGTATGTTCTCTCCTGTGTTTTTCTCTGGGTTTTTCTCTCCAGTTTTCTTTCTCTGAATTCCAGAACTGTTTTCATGTTTGCTCAAAGAATTTGCTGTTTGCCAGCTTTGGTTTGCTAGATCAGTGCTAGTTAGAAGCTCCTGCAGTTATCAGAAATTCTTCTTTTTTTCTTTTAGAAACTTTCTGCATCAGAGTTCTTTTTGATTGGAGCAGTAGCTAAAGCTATAGCAACAGTAGTTACTTATCCACTACAGATTGCGCAGTGCAAACAAAGGGTAAGTTTAATATCAAATAAACTTGTTCATCTGCTTCCAAATCACAAGCCAGGGTGAAATCATACAATTTTGGGTGGATGTCGATCCAAGTGTTTCCATGATATCGTCAGTAAACACAAGGTTTTCATGGCACATGTTGATTGACTGTCATGGAAATGCCTCGATTGGTGTACGACAAAATCTACTTCATCACGACGGCAAATTTTACAATTTTGCACATTATGATTGGTAAACATTCAAATCCCTAATATCAAATGGAGCTACCAGAGTAGGCAAAATGCAAACAGCAAAATTCCTAATGAGTAAATCAYGTTTTCCTTTTTAAGGCTGGCTATGAAAGATATAAACAACACAGCAATCTTCTTTCTTTATTGGCAAAATTGATAAGGTAAGACATGATATAATGATGGCAATATTCAATAGTGATGTCAGTGACAACAATGATCAGTGGATAGCCATGTAGCGATGGTGATTTCTATTGCAGTAAGGATGGGTATGAATGTGACGAACTATTTATGATATTGTTAAGTGGAAGAGATTGTTAGTTTACAGTGACAATATTGATGACAGCGATGATGGTGGTAAAATAATGTGATGATGATAATGAGTTGATGGCGAAGTTGATTGTGATAAACTAGTTATGATTATAATAAGTTGATGGTAATGCACATTGATGATTCTTATTACACTGATGCTCATATGGGTGATAGATATATTACGGGTGAATGAAGCATGACTCTCAGGCGATTTCACCATAATTTGATGACAGTTATTATGAAAATGATAACTGATGATCAAGACAGTAAGAAAAAAAATGAACCAATGCCATTAATTCTTCTTGTGATTTCAATCCTGCAGGGAGCAAGGCATTCTGGGACTGTACAAGGGTCTTGAAGCTAAATTACTACAGACTGTATTAACTGCTGCGTTGATGTTCCTTGCTTATGAAAAGATTGCCGCTTTTATATTTGCACTGGGTAGAAGAATTAAATCTTAAAATTGCACTCAAAGCTGGCCTTTAATCAAATTTAGGACTATTGATATTCAATAAACATTTAACCCCCTACTTTTTATTGTTCCTTTACTATAATCTATTCATTTATAATCATGGAATTTATGGACTTATGTGACTACACTGCCTGTATATTGACAAAATTAATTATTTAACTTATTTCTAGGAATACATCTGAATATTTAACATTAAATAAACATCGGCAACTACAATCATCGAAATTCCTTGTGGATGTGATTTTAATACTAGTGCCATAGTGATAAAGTGCTGTTCATGAAAACTGGTGTACAGCTAAAAGGCTCCTTTTTCTGCAGGAAATATTTCCTAAATGTTCCAAGCTCCATAACATAATGCAGTCCAGACAAGTTAGTCCTGGTCAGCTGGGTTCATAGTCAATAATATCTTTTCTAAGATTTCCTTCTGGTGGCTCAGTTCACTGTTCAGATATTGCATTCTGTCAAGAAAAGATAAAGTTTTATTGACAGATAGAGTACAAACACTATAAGTGTGTAACATAAATACCTCTAAATACTGCTAAATTATGCTAATCCTATTGTTTTCTATTGTTTAATTAGCACTATTTACTACTAAATAGTGCAAAGTGCTTTATACACTTACTGCATGGGTTCTAATTGCATGGGTTCTAATTGCATGGGTTGCCCTTCCACCACAAAAAAGTAATCCCCACTTGCTGTTACACACACACAACTGATTTAATGAAAGAAAATGGATAGCACCCTTCCTTCCTTCTTCCCAAAAAACATTCCTACCCCTTGTCCCTGAGTACACCTACTGATGCCCCATTAGGGAGCTACCCATATCCTCCGTCTGAATTTCACAACTTATGCTTATGTTGCAATTTCGGAATGTTCTTCTGGTCCTTGCTTTCGGTAATCCATTAGAGCAGTCTGTCGTTCCTTGCTAGTTTGTGCCTGTAATGTTGCTGTTTCAAGGCCATGTCACTTGTCCAGATTTACCCCTTAATGGGCCCCCCTAATAGCTGCTGCCAGTGATGGATAGTAATCATAGAACAGACTACCTTTCTTCGTTTATTTGTAGTTTATTGTCTAGTTCCTCTGTCATCTTTTGCCATGCTTCTGATAGGTCGGTTTCAGGTGCTTTGTTGGTCGTACTGAACAGACGTTTATTCAGTCGGCCCTAAGACACATGCAACAACAAMAAAAAAAACTATAATAACTAATTATTGTTATTCATTACTTTAACCCTGATGATGGTTGAGATGGCTAAAGGCTTGGTTGTATTAAAAACACGATTTAACACAGATGCAGCTTCYTCAGTTAATAAGAGCTGTTAGATTCATAACATCGTGGAGGGGAGGGGTTTGGTGCATAGAGGGAAGTTGCATGAGAGCAGAGGGTGCAAGAAAACTTCATGGAACAGGAAGTGATGTCATTTTCAAAGCTATTTGACGAGTGAAGTCACAGAGAAGACTGGTTTGATTCGTCAACATTAACAGATGACTTAGCTATCTGTAGTTCTAATAACAATCTAAGTGTGCTGGAATATACCCATTTCAATTTGATCCTTAGTATTTAGAATAACAATAAGTACATTCCAGCACACTTAGATTCATCAACATTCTTTTATGCACAGATGGGTTTATAGAATGGAAGAAATTAGGAGGACAAATAGGATGGAACACTTAAACAAATATGATTTCTTTCCAATCCTGTGAGATGACCTATAAAAGTCTGGGGTTGCTCTACCACATGGCTCAACCTAAATAATAAGACCTAATGAGAGATAACACATTCCCCAGCAGATACATACCTTCAGCTTTTGCAACACTGTTCGTGGTTTTTGATTGGGTTTCAGCACTACTTTGGATCGATGAAAACGCTTTAACAACCAAAAGGGCAGTTTCTCTTCAAATTCATAAATGCAGTCGATCTGTCATGATATGATGATAAACCATGCAAAAATCAATCCCACCTCTGACACCATTTCAATTGTTACCTTTTCAAACCTCCAGGGGTTGAGGGGGCCCCAGCAGAGGTGAAAAATGGAGTATACGTATGGTGAACCCATAGTTAAGTCACACGTCTGACACCAATTTCATGCATTAGTTTGTCCTTACACCGTTTTTACCAACAGCAAGAGTCGATCTCCAGGACTACTGTGAGGAAAATCGACCACGAACACAAGAATCGAAAAATAGATATAGAGACGCTCACTAAAATCGTTTACTCTACCCCACCCCACCCTTAATTGCTCAGCTTACACCCCCTTCTTTGCTCTAGCTTCATGAATTGACATGATATTTAAATTTAATGAAGAGTCATTTAGTACCTGTATGGTAAGCCTTTTGAGTTCTGCATTCTTTTGGATTGAATCGATGTCACCAACAGCCAGACCAATCTAAAACCGCAAGAAGTGATTCATATTATCTTATTCAACTAGAACTGTAAGACTTAGATCAAACGTTGAACTTCACATAATCCGAACCTAATGACATCGGAGAAGACCGATGGAATTAGGTTCGGCTCATGAGTAGTTCGACGTTTGACCTGAGCCTCATTTGCATTATTCCTATTGAAAATAGCATGTTGCGATTTTCCTACAGAACTCTTCTCTAGTKTTCTGTCAACTCCCGCGTGCTTTATTTAATGAATTCTAAATGCGCGCACATGTCTTTGTACTGTAATATAAGCACGCTAGGAGCTGTAGAGCAAGAGAGAAGCAGGCTCAGCAACAAGAGGCGTAGCCTAGTATTTCTCTTGCTTTACCAGTGCTCCACAGCTTCCAGAGTGTTTACATGACAATACAGTAGGAAGGCTACCCGTGCTTCTCTACCTTCTAGAAGCAATTCAGTATAACTACTTACCATGAGGTTCATTAATACGATTGGTAGGATGATACAGAACAACAAAAACACGTTACGAGCGGTATCTGTCATCCACAATGGTTCATCGATGAAAAAGCTACTGTACTCGATCTCACCTATCGTCATCACCATTACCTTGACGATTGACAATTGTATAGTACCAAATGGATCCTGTAAACAACAAGCCGTCGTTTTTTCAATGTACTTATTTTAATGATAGACCATTTTCGAGTTCCAAATTACCGCTGCGTTCCTTGATTACATTCTCATTTACTCAGGCTTTGTTGTCTCGTATCAGTTTCGAAATGCTTACAAATACCAACGGTAAAGCTAGTAAAGGATGCACAACTTCAACAATACAAACGCTTTCAAATTCTAAGGATCTTCACCGGAACATATTCGAGGCTAAACCTGAGCAACAGAAAACTCGAAACTGAAGTATTAAGCGATACAGACAGCTGACCAGATTCAAGATATCTGGTTTTTAGCTTCCATTAAACACATTTCTAAAACTTTGAATTTCGTTTTTTACTCTGACGAAGGTTATTCATTTGCTTCGTGCGCATAAATTCCTGCATGTAACGTCAAAGCAGCTCAATTTGAAGGACAAAACGAAGGAATTTCAATCTCCTGAGAATTGGAAACCTATTGCATTCGAACGTGCTGGGGATTCGTCTTTTCACCTCTCTTAAAGAAGCTGTTCACCTAGCGGTTGTTGTAATAAATTTGGAATAGGGGAATCGTCAATACATATTCAACAAAGAGATTTACCTTCGTAATGTCTGTCCCATTCTCGTATGGCAAACCAAGGAATGCTCTCTAAAAGTTAGGCAAAACGTTTCAAAAATATAATCTTTAAAATAATGGCCCCATTTGAACGAAGTCGAACTGTTCATGCTAAACACATTGTCCTACCGTCCATCTTTACAACAGTTGCACGCACAAAACATAGTGTAAGCTCACCCACGTTACTGGAAACTGCGTGAAATCAATAGACCGCTTTACCTTGTCCGCATTTCAAACCATGCGTCATTCTCTTGAGAATAAGATTCTTTGTTTGAGTTGTATCTACATTCATGTGTCTTCTAATGCGCAACCGTTAAACAAAAAATAATACTCTGGGGAATGACACGTTGTCTGAAATGGGAAAACATTACGACCAAAGAGGTTTATAAATTGCGCGCTTTCTAACTTTTCTAGCTAGTAATTTGTAGGTTTTCTGTAGGAAAAGTTAGCGCGCGTGACATCCCTCAAAAATATGCTGCAAATGGATGCTGGCAGTTTCTCTCCGGGCATTAAAACATTACTGAAGACAAGCTCTAGAGAGGGAGAATACAGAAAAAGGGGGGAGGGGAGGGAGGGGGGATATGTCTAGAAGTCAAGGTTTACTCACGTTATTCTTTCTTGAAAGTAACAAATGAAAAGTAACAGCGAAGACGATGAATATTATCGTGAAAAGACTTACAACCTGAAAATTAAATATGTAAAAACAACTTATGAATACTAAGCAAAATGGAACTTAACCAAAACTTTCACTACAAGGATTTTTGTTTTACCCCATTTTTATATTACGTAACACGTCTGGGTTTTTGTCTTCCGTCACTCAAAAAAAAACTAACACTGACCATTAAAAATTCGATTGACGTAAGCAAAAAACTCATGTAGACTTCTAGAATGGATTACTTCGACGATACAGCGGACATCTTGGATCACAAGGCATTATGGGATATAAAGGGGGCAAATAAATCTTTGTTAGAGTAATGACGTCGATTGACACTAACAGCTCACCACAAGAGAATACAACAAAAGATTGATTAAGATGGCACATCGATCACCTTTACCAAAAACAAAACTTTATATTTCCCACCATCTTTGTTGTTTTTTTTGCCCCCTGGCAAGATGGCATCCATATCGTCGAAGTAGTTCATTATAGCTGGTCGTGTGCATGGGACGCGTAACTGCGATAAATGGGAACAATAGGAGAGCAAGTCAAGAGCATGCGCACTAACCTTGACAACCGTTTTTAATACTTCAAACAGCATAGTTACATATATTCCAGACTGAAATAACCTAAAGATGTCGAAAACATTCAAAAATGGGTTCAAGTACATCTATTCAATTGATTTAAATGCTAAAGCCCGGAAAACGAAAAAGGCAAATAACATCCCCTAAAACAGCCCCAAAAACCAAAGTAAATGTGGCTCGATTCTAGAAATAAAATTTTTAAAACGAACAATACAAGTAGCGTCCTCTAAACCGCCCCATGATTCAGCGCGCGTCCTACTCCGCGGCGTTACCAAATTTCAGCGCAAAAATTTGAAGGTCAATACTTAAGCCTTGCGTAGTTAATGGAACTAAGTCTTACGTTTGAAACTGTAGTAGCATGGTCAGGTACGCCAGTAATACTGAAATAACTGTTAAACTCCAATAAAATTCGTCCTCTATACTGTTCAGTCGCAGGGAGATGGCTATCAAAGAACAGGAGAAGGTTGTCAACTCCACAACATTACTCGTCTCGATGTAATTCCATCTCTAGAACGTAACACCATGATTTCTTGGTTAGAAATAGCTTTTTATATACATCAATGTGAGGAGAGCGGAAAAAAGGTCCTTAGGTTCTTTATAAGTCAATCCGTACAGTGTCGTACTGTGCCGCGCCGGTATTCGTTTTCAGGAATATTCAAATATCTCTTATAAATCTTTAAGTATTTTGAACTAGCAGCCAAAAGAAAGATTTTGGTCTGTTCACTCAGCCATTGCCAACGATGGTAAAACAATGGTAAAACAAAGGATTGTGCATGGTCACGCTTGAAAAAAGTGAACAAAGACATATAACAATAGGTTTCATAACCATTCCCCTCTATTAACTATGGTTTGGATGACTTCATTTGCATTAAGTAGTGATATTTTCACTTTATATGCGTTGCAAATAGGGTATGTAGTGTTTAAAAAACGAGTAGGAGTGTTTTATCAGGTATAAAAGCACGAGAGGTAGCCGAGTGCTTTTATACCTGATAAAACACGATCTACGAGTTTTTTGAACTGCTTAAAACACTCATGAACAATTTATAAGATTTTGGTTCAACTGGAGTCACCATACACGTCACGAACATAGATTTTTATACTTCGATAGAGATTTGACGTCACGGGCATGCGCAACTTGATTCAATAGAAGCTCCCACACTTGGGTATTGCGTGCCAAGGCAAAGACAGGCACGTTAGACACATGTGTCTTTATATAAAATCACTTGAATACTAATGAAGAGGACTTTATCGGGTATAAAGGTTCATGCACGTGAAGTGTATGGTGGCTCCAATTGGACCATAAACTTATGAATTATTAATGAGTGTTTTAAATATGGTTTATTAAACAGATTTCCAATACCCTTTTCCCCATTCTCTAGTTAACTCTCTTATCTTCAGCGCATTTCCCATATACTGGTTTTAACAGGTTTTTCTGCTTAAAAACAGGTTAAACAGACATACCTCAGTGTACATCTGGTAGCCTTCAATACAAAGGTTGAATAGCGAGATGGCAATAATGCCCAATTCCAATCCAGCGATTGATTGAGCTGTGCAATAATGCTGAAAACATAAGTAGAAAAAAAAAGTATAAAGAATTAAACTCTAGCTTCTTAGTGAGTGTCAGTACGCGGAAGTGTGAAGGTACGGAATTGTTCACATCGATCTGCAGTTTACGCGTTTACGATTGTCTCTAGTCCAACCACAATGCTATAATATACAGTCAATTTAAAAAATGACCAACTCAAGCCTCCGCGACTGGACCGAAAGGAACTCTGGGTAGTAATCATTGAAGCCGAGCTGACTTCATAACTTTATCTGACTAGTTATGCCTSRTTTACAGCACGAACCTTCGTAGGCSAGCGGGAAGTGTTGAAGGAGACATTTTTTCAATGCCTTCAWATTTTCGAAATTGTGAACTGAATCATAACTACTTTGTTTTTCTTTCCCTAAACCCGAAGACAGCATTTGATGGATTGTTTCTGGCCATTATTATCTTATTACTAGCGGGAACAATTATAATAATTCAGAACGAATATTTAACCGCTTCAGTGATTTTTACCCATATTCCTTTCGGTCCAGTCGCGTAGGCGTGAGCCGGTCGACGACAACGTTTTTTAAATTGACTGTATTCTATATTCTCTGTTGGGATCCCTGTATTACATTTTATGGCAGAGAAGAACTAGGAACGAGAGGGGAGGAGGAGTGGGGACGAGGGAGGGAGAGAAAAAGCGAGAGGAGTAGTATCTCCTTTTCTTTTTTGTCCCTCCCTTCCCCCTCCCCCTTCGACTTTTTTGCCCCCACCACAGGAAGCCCAAGGAGCAAAAAAGACCCAAGGAGGTGCCTGCGGATCGGAGAAGGCTAAATCAAATCATTGATTATGGGATTACCTGTAGTTTTTCATCTTCAATAGTCCTCGTCTGGTTTAAGCGTCGATGGTTGAACAAATATCTTTGACAGCTGACATAATGACCCAGTGTTATCAAGAATATCAAGTGCAGGATTGCGGCGGCATAAAAAAATCGAAGCCCAAACAATTTCCTGTGGAAATAAAGGAAGAACAATTAACGATATTTGCTTGTTCTCAATCAGCTGATAAAAGTCTTGAATCTCATTATCTGTTTCAAACGGTAGTTAAAATAAAAATTATTATTATTATTATTTATTTAAACGTATTTTTCCCAATAAATTTACCCTAAGAGCGAACGCGCTCATCTAGGGGGTCTACGTACAGCTTTTACACATGACCATTCTGTGCTATCAGCCAAAAAAAATGCTATTGAAAACTTGTGATTCAACTTATAAACATTCCGCACGAGACAGGAAATGACGTTAGGTGAAACCAAGAAATAGACCCCTTGCACTTGACGCAAAAACTAACACGTAAAATCCCAATTCGATCTGTGAGTTAGCCATGCCYTGACTTAGATTAGCCCAGAGATCGTTTCAGGGTTCGATCTGTGAGTTAGCAGTGCCCTGACATAGATCAGCTCAGAGGTTGTTTCAGGGTTCGATCTGTGAGTTAGCAGTGCCCTGACTTAGATTAGCCCAGAGATTGTTTCAGTGTATCGATAAAATATTAAAGAATTTGAATATTGCTTCCAAACATTCATCAAACAGATAATTTTAAAAACTTGTATTTACCATTTATATCTGATCAGTTCCAAAGTGAGTGGATGGAAAAGCAAGTCTTTTTGCACACCCTCCACCATATACTGAAAAACAATGAGAACAATAAAAAGAATGAAGCTTCTGTAAATGGTACAAAAAGTAATTCTCTGGGTATCTTTGGTCTTGAAAAACGATGCTAACTTCTCCGTGGAATTTTTCATTCTTACCTTAGGAGCAAAGAATTTTTTACCACTTGAAATCGTCCTTCTGTTGGGCTCAGGATCAAGGTAATCAAACCGATGAGTAACCTACAGGAAAAAATTACAAAAAACACATCAAAGTCGTACAGATACTAGATTCCTTTAATCCGTATAGAATGTAGGAATGGTTCTGGTTATAGCACAAGTACGAAAGCATTGTTGATAACAGATGCTTGTATCCAACCTAGAATAGAATGTTGATTGCACAACGTTTTTATGTACAAGAAGAACGTATTGATCCTTATGCTTATGCGCTAGTAAAACAGAAGATACAACAGCCTGTATTTGTGGCAGTGTTTTCAAGGTACCTCCAGATAAAAGGATGAGGTGGAGAAGAGAAATAGAGATGATTACATACCTTCATCAAGGTACCTCCAGATAAAAGGACGAGGTGGAGAAGAGCAATAGAGATGATTACATACCTCCATCAAGGTACCTCCAGATAAAAGGATGAGGTGGAGAAGAGAAATAGAGATGATTACATACCTCCATCAAGGTACCTCCATGCAGATAAGAGAACGAGGTGGAGAAGAGAAATAGAGATGATNTTACATACCTCCATCAAGGTACCTCCATGCAGATAAGAGAACGAGGTGGAGAAGAGAAATAGAGATGATTACATACCTCCATCAAGGTACCTCCAGATAAAAGGACGAGGTGGAGAAGAGAAATAGAGATGATTACATACCTCCATCTTTTCGTCGTTCTCTTGGTGACCCGATGACGAGATACACTTGCCTAGAACAACCTGGTTAACCAATAGAAACACTTCAAAAATGACCCGTGCCGATAATAATTACTAATATACCTATTAATATATAATAATAGCCTATAAATGATAGAGCATCATAACACTGAATAACCAAGAGTTATACACCAACCCGAAATATGTTTGAAAATATGTACCAATTTGAAAAATGATCGTTCTGGAGTGACTAGCATCTCACGCTTTTGTGTTTCCACGTGGATACGAATGAATAAGCCATATTTCGATTCGTTTTATTGAATGAACTAATATTAACCAATAAAGGCCGAAACAGCTGTCCACGGTTTCTAGTTGAGCTGGCTCATTTTTTACGCGACTTGAAGTTGTGAAAGGCCCACTGGCCCTCTTCTTCAGTCGTTTCATACAAGTCTCGTAATTTTTCTTTTACGCATGTTCTTATATGATTTCCGAGCCCATCCCACATGGCTTACTGCCTCACCTCTCATTCAATAAAGAAAGTATGAGGTGTTACCTTGGCAACGTCAGGAAACTTTTCAATCAGGCTTTTGATCGCAGGATATCCATTACAGTCTTCAAACTGACACGCCTCCTCCCACCTATGAGTCAAGCACAATATTTGATGACTATATAAGGTAAATGACGTCATTACCACGTGACTAGGTACCAACCCACCTCTCGTGTTTTACAATTGCCATACAGACATCTTTGTGGCCAGCGGTTATCGCGGCGGTCAGGCAGTTATCTCCATTTGCTGTTACTATGGAAAYGTCTGCTCCTCGGTCCAAAACCATGGAAACGAATAAGGCATTACCGTTACTTGCTGCAGTAGTGAGAGCAGTGTTCTGGGGAAGGAAAAGAAACGTCCAAATTATATTTCCAAGCAGTGACGATAACTTTCAAGATATAAATTTCTTAATGTTGTCCTTTAAGGGTCTACATTCTACTATGTCATACTGCCCTATAATGTACTCATTGTTATAATGCTTACTCTGTCTTTGTCTACAGCGTTAATACTGGCTCCTTTCTCCAGCAAGACTCGTGCTGTGATTAGACATCCACACTTCGCTGCTTGGATTAATGAAGATACATGATTATCGTCCCTGATGATGAATAAAGGAACATGAAATGGATTAAGACTTGATTATGACGACAATTATTATTATAATGATGGTGCTAACGGCGATGATGATGATRATGGTGATGACAGTGATGACAGGTGGTGATTATGATGATGATTGTAATGATGAATGATGTATTTAGATGTTGGAACCAACGATATGTGGAAACAACGATAGCTGATGGTTATGATGGTGATAAAGATGATTATGATGATGATGATAGTAATGATGAATGATGTTTTTCGATTCTGGATGATGACGATGACGATGATATAGTATTGGTGGTGGTAATGGTGATGATGATGGTGGTGGTGGTGTGGTGGACATGATGATGATGACGACGATGATATAGTAGTGGTTCTGGTAATGGTGGTGGTGGTGGTGTGGTGGTCATGGTGATGATGATGATGGTGATGATGATGATCATGATGATGATGATGATGACGATGATATAGTAGTGGTTCTGGTAATGGTGATGGTGGTGGTTGTGGTGTGGTTGCCATGGTGATGATGATGATGATGATGATGATGATGATGATGATGATGGTGATGATGGTGATAATTATGATAATGGTGATTATAGAAACAATAATCTTAAAGGTGTTAAGATGATTGATCGATGGTTATCGATGATGGCGCTGTTAATCGCTGYTGATTGCTGCTTATAATTATTTAATTTCTGTCCAGTTTGTTTCCTTTCGACTACCAGTTCACGAACGAATACAACATTTCTCTTTCCGAGTACCAGAATCATTAAAATAAATCCCTCRACCAACCTGTTATCAACATCAGCTCCTTTGTTTATCAAATACCGAGCGACTACATGATTGGCGTCTGCAGCAGCGTAATTCAGCGGTGTACTCAATCGCGAGTCCTGACAATCAACCGACGAGGGCATCTTCTTAAGCAGAACCTGCACGCACTCTAGATTCCCATTCCTAAAGCAAAAGAAAAATGATTAGAAGCAAGTTCACTTAGGAAACTTAAAAGTAGAACATTCCAGATGTACGTGACCAGCGTGACAGAAACGAAGTTTGCTCGTCACGTGATTCAGCTTGAGTTCGGCGCTGAAGGTATAGCAATAGATGTTTTACGAATTCGAAATAATGGTTCCAATTTGAGGCTGGACTTCGTAAAATAAAGCATGAATACATCAAGTCCAACCTCGACTTGGCCACTCAACAGACCTCCTCGGCTCTGACGTAATGTTTTCCCATTTCAGACAACTTGTCATTCCCTAGAATATCATTTCTTGTTTAAGGTTTGCGCTTGGTTGCACATGAGAAAACACATGAATATGGATACAACTCAAACAAAGAATATTATTCTCAAGGGAATGACACATGGTCTGAAATGGGACGCTCCAGAGCCGTTTTGAATACGTATATATATAATATATATACGTGTTGAAAGCTCGTGTAGCTCGTCACATTGTTAGTGAAGAAATAGAAAACGCGCGCGCGTGCTGTATGCTGTCATAAAGCACGCGGCCGGGGGTTGGCAGAATCACGCGTAGCGGAGTGCTTCTGGACACTTCTCGAGTGTTCTGCCAATCCCCAAGTGCTTTATGACTGCACACAGCACAGCAAGCAAGTTTTTTATTTCTTTTATAAAATACAAATTACAATAATAGATAGGAATGACGCAACGGAAAGTGCGCGCGTGCAATGTGCTGTCATAAAGCACGCGCTCCAAACCAATCAGAACGCGACATTCATATCAGTTATTTTATAAAAGGAAATAGTGCTCGCATTAACCCTCACTCAATGAAAAACACGTGCTGCGCAACCATATCTGCAAAGAAATGCTCTTGTCACTGGCCGTTTAGACATTAATGAAATATGTTGCGTGACAACCGTAAGGTCACGACACCGTCAAATACGTGGCGCAGTCACTCTAGTCCTGCAAGGTTTTATTCACCATTTTCCATACATCGGTTTACTGGTCAAACACGAAGCACCCAAGCGATGCGCCAAGGTACTTTCAAAGGATTATTCAAAATTGAACCTTGCAACCTCAACTGAATGCTTTGTGTTTGACCAGTGAACCGATGTATGGAAAATGGTGATTATATATCTTTCCAGGATTTTGGGCCATATTTAATGTGCTGTTGAATTCATGCGGGCTAAAGTCAATATACAACTTACTCTGAAGCGTAATGCAAAGGAATTTTTTCGTCCTCATCTCGAAGATCAACATGTGATCCAGCGCATAATAATTTATTAAGAATCTGAAAAAATACGTAAAGTGAGTAAAGTCGGCTTTGTTAAGGTCACGTGTTTGAACGTTTTCCAAGTTACAGTCACATGAAGTTTGCTTTATACAACTTGAGACTACTACTTTATGTAAGATTGCCATAATGGATAAATGTTTCATGTACGATAAAATTATTTTGTTTTGCACTGGCTTAGGGTCAACCTACTAAAAGTATTATATTGATGTTTTCAACCATTCCCAAGAGMATTAAATAACAAAAGACACGGTGGCCATGTTGGAGGATATRATTAAAGAATTCATTGATAATTCTTCTGTTAAAGTCCTCCAACATGGCCGACGTGAAAACCATCAATACATGAAGCAGGCTGCGAACCGCCTCTCTCTGGGGACTAAAGTAGCAGCCACAACACCGAGCTTGGTTAAGTACCTGGATATCTCCTCTTGCTGCAGCGTAGTGTAGTGGTGTTTTATCATCTTTGTCCCTCGCATCTAATAACCTTTCTCCGCCATTCTGAAGATGAACATGTTTTAAATGGATCAAAAAAGAATACTTCGTTGCACAGTACAGGAGTTTAATAAACGACCATGACCATCCCCATGCCCCATCTTGTTTCTTTCCCCCCCCTCCCCTCCCTACAAGAATGACTATTATGAGAGCATATAAAATATTTTCCTAATTTGTCTTCATGACAGAATTTGTTGTTCAAAATTTCAATTGTTTCACGTGGAGGTTAAATCATTAAGAACATTTATTTCGTTTATTTAAGCGTTTTTCTTGGAGAAATGAGAAAATGCGAGTCATAACTTTACTTTGTACTCTAAACGACTGCTTATTACCTGTAGTATCACTTGCACTGTCTTGATATCAGCACTATAGACAGCAATGTGAAGACACGTTCGATACTTTGTGTCACGCAAGTCGATCGGTGACCCGCGCTTGAGAAGAAACGCGACAGCATCGTGATGTCCGCGATTCACGGCGCACAGAAGTGGTATAGGCATGTCCGACCCTGGTGCTGGGTAAAGTTTAGCTCCCTTAAAATACATGCGTTACATATAGTTACATGGCGTTACTCAAGGAAGAAGCATGCGTTACACATAGTTACGATGGCGTTACTTAAATGTAAAGAATCAGTTCGTTTGCATTATGACGTCACATTAAACCAGAATCCCCTGCACACCTTTTTTATCAGTTCGTTAGCATCAATTATTTTATTTTTTCATGGGTCAACAAAAATTTGAAGAAGGAAAATTAAAGCATTCTGGTAGTGGTAGTAGAATGATGCCATCATGCAAACAGCGCATTGCGTGTGTGTAATAGACACTTTTCGAGTTCCAAATTACCGCTGTGTTTCTTGATTACAGACTCATTTACTCAGGCTAAGCCTCGATTTTGTGAAGAATATTCACGTGTTCCAGTCAAGGTCCGTCAAGTTTCAAAGTGTTCGTTTTGTTGAAGTTGTTCATTCTTTACTTTACCGTTGGTATTTGCGAGTAATTAGACACTGATTCGAGGCTAAGCCTGAGTAAATGAGTCTGTAATCAAAAAACACAGCGGTAATTAACTCGAAACGACAGTCACTCGAAACTGGACTATTGCGTGTACCTCGTTTAACAGAAGATCTATTATCTCCACTTGTCCAGAAAGAGAAGCTCTGAGGAAAACGGAAAAAAAATCATTTTACTATATCTTTTGTTYCGGCTACGCCTCATGGATCCACACTACTTTGAAAACGTGATGACGCAATTTATCGTCAATAAGAGGACAGACACATAAAAAACTGATGTCTATTTGTTAAATAGACCTTTTTACCGATACGGTGGCCATCTTGAATGCTATTGTCTTAATAAAGACGTAATGGAATGCAGAGGGGGCAACTATTGGAAAATTTATAGACTGCACAGCTATCAGGGTGTCTTTTTATATGACTTTACGCTTTTCAATGAGAAGCACATCTAAAAAGCAATTGAATTTGCTGGTAGTTGGAACGATATAAAAAACACCAAGACTTTGAAAACATACCCCCGCCACTCTATGCTTTATAAATATCCTACGTGTTTGCCGGCTGCCTCGGCATCCAAGAATTCAAGATGGCCACCGTACCAGTAAAATCGTCTATTAATTTGTTATAGCCTGATCAAGCTGGAATACGTCTACCGTATACCTAAGTATCGGGGTCATGCCATCTTTGTCTTTCGCCTCGATAGCTGCTCCATGGAATACAAGTAAAGATGCCATGTCTATATAATCGTTATTGCAGGCCACGTGTAAAGGAGTTTCCAGAGATTCCTAAAGAAAACCGGTTCATCTGGTTAGTATGGAGATATTCGTTCGGTTAAGGTATGGAGATTAAACAGACCACTTCCTCCTGTTAGTCAGTATGAAAAATAAAACTCGTCAAACCAGTATGTTCGGTTAGTGTGCAAGATATAAACCAGTCAAACTGGTTTCAAATCTTACCTGGGGGGCCGAAGGATCGGCGCCATATTCGATGCAAACCTTTGCAGCCTAGAGTATATTAATATATCATTAAAAAATAAATAATAACAAATAAAGCAAAGATAATTAAAATATAGAAAAAACAGAAATGAAGGAAAACGAAAACTACATATAAGAATCAGTTATGAGTGGTATTAACGCATTTTATTATATAGATATCGATGAAATACCAGSTTTTCTCTAGTGTCGAAAACTTGATACATCTTTCACCAGTGGAAGATACCATATCTTTCACACGTGAAGATATCGCTGTTGAATCGGCTTGCTATTTTAATAAAGAATTTTTGAGCTTTTGTTTTATTTAAGTTTCATCGATATCTATATAATAAACAGAACATTACATGGCCGCTTGGAGATACGAATTTTATCTTCTCGTGTTCAATTTAGATATCTCACTCGTTCCCTGCGCTCACTCGTGAGATATCAATTGAACACTCGAAGATAAAATTCGTATCTCCGCGCGCCCATGTAATATCCTCTATATAGATATCGTCAAACGCATTTTTTCTCCAACGGACACAATAAAAGCAGCAGCAGTTAGTGTACTTCTACTGACCTCAACGTGGCCATATTGTACCGCAAGATGAAGGCTTGAGTTGGTTTCTCTGCAGTCAGTATTTAAGATATCATGACATGACTTTCCCGCCATTGATGCTGAAAACACCACAAAGAAAGAAATAACTCAGTATTGATGTTCATCACAGTCAACAGAGGTGTCAAGACACACCTTGAAATGAAGCTTTCACACATGTCAATCAAAAGCATGCGTAGAAACCAGGAGGTACTGATCATTTTGTATGTCATTTTTTGAGGAAAAAGTTGTAAATGATTATGAAATTCTATCCTTTTTTTGTTAGTTAATGGAAATACTCTTTAGTGTGCATAACCTGTTTTACCTGTTTTGAGGAGTACTCGTAAGATATCGGCCCGACCGCCCGGTTCATAACCATTTTACCTGTTTTGAAAAGTACTCCTAAGATATCGGCGCGACCCACCGGTGCATAACCTGTTTTACCTATTTTGAGGAGTACTCGTAAGATATCGGCCCGACCGACCGGTTCATAACCATTTTACCTGTTTTGAGGAGTACTCGTAAAATATCGGCCCGACCCTCCTTGGCTGCATAGTGAATAGGCGTACATTTGTCACAGTCGATCTTGCATGGATCAGCTTCGTGTAACAACTAAAAACAATCACCAAACAATACCATAGTTAGCGAAAAAGCTGATACCAGGAAACCTCATCCCTCATGGGGTTGCGCAGACAGTAGAGACCTTTAGCATCAGGTTTACCGATAACCGCGAGGGATCAGGCCCAGAAACACACTCGCAAACACGGAGAAACACTAGGCATCAAAAGAATTCAATATGGCGGCTCTTCCAGCAACAACTTTGTTATTACGCCTTGCTAAATGTCGAACGTTGGACGGAAAACGCCTAACTCACTTACTAGAACATTAATGACGTCCAATCGTCCACACAGAGCAGCCACATGTAACGCTGTAAAGTTTTCGTTGTCAGTCACGTGCGGGTTGACTTTTCCTTTGTCCAGTAACAACTAAAACAAGAAGTATTAGTTTAATAAGTATTATTACGTTATTATATTTTGATTAAATGGAAACTGAAATTCGTCCACGGGAACCGATAAGCGTGCTTCATCAAAATAGCAAAATTAAATATCCACAGGGTACCCATGCTGGGAGGGCAGGATATTATCTATATTCACAGGGAGCCCATCCCGGATGCCTTTATCGCATAGACTACCGCTGAGTTCCTTGATTACAGACTCATTTACTCCGTGTAAGCCTTATTTCAGCGTCAGAATATTCCCAAATACCAACGGCAAAGTAAAAAATACACAACTTCATCAATAAAAACACTCGTTGAAATTCCACCTTCACTGGAACACGTTAATATTCTATAAGAGATTGAGACTGACTGAGCAACAGAAAATTCCATGCTGGAGCCAGTATTAGCGAAGTTAAGTAAAAGCCTGGGTCGAGTTGTCATTGCAATGCATTGTGGGGCTGTTTTAGGGGACGAAATAGACGCCATCTTGGGAATATGTTCCCTAAAACAGCCCACAATGCCCTGTAATGACAACTCGACCCAGTTTTTTCTTAACCTCGGAGTAATTACCTCAATCAGTTCTACACTGGCTCTTTGTGCTGCATAGTGTAGTGCATGTTGCCCAAACACAGATTGTTTCTCCATATCAGCTCCATTGTCTATCAAAACCTTCACCACGCCCAAAGCATCAAATCTGCTTGCCACGTGTAGTGGGGTCAGATTACGCTGGTCATAACTTGAGCCCACGTTGATATCTAAAGCAAGACAGTCAAACAGTGAGCATAAATACTAAAGGAAAAAATAATACTAAGTCATTGATGTAAATAGACCATTTCACAGATCCCGCGGCTCAACCTCAGCCTCGTCAGCGCGTAATATATTCTTTAGAAATTGCCTACAACCTGTGAAATTTTTAAGTGTTTCAATTGTTYGTTGATGTGTAAWTTCCTTTCATTACTGCGGATTGTAGTCAAATTCTAAAGAATAATTACAAGGCTGAGGTTGAGTAACGGGATCCGTGAAATGGCCTATTGTGCATTGGGAGAGTTTGCTCAAGGATGCTGACACGCTGAAACAGGAGTTTTATTACACTTTGCTGACGACGCGAGTCTAGGATTTGTGGAGCATAGAGTTAAGACTAAGCAAAAACCGCTTCGAATCCTCTCTAAGGACGTTTTGTTTTTTGCATAAATCATTTAGTTAATTCAATCCTCTAAACAAACCGCAGAGCTAAGGTGAAACAATGTTACACAAAGATCAAACAGCGCATGCTCACCAGCTCCATTATCAATCAGCAATGAGACTATCTGTGTCCTCTGATACCGAGCCGCATAGTGCAATGGGGCAAAACCCCTGTCATCAAGACTGTTGATTAGCGGGTTGTCTTCGAGAAGCCTCGTGACCTCTTCGTATAATCCTTCCCGACATGCCTTTAGGATGAAAAGAAAGAATTTCATTTTTCGTCRAGATGATAAAGAAATCTCTTACAACATTTCTCTGAATTTTGAAATAGTATGCACAAGATGAATTCAGATCAGTTAACACTAGAATTGTGTTACCCTGAACTATCCTGTGATGCATCACGATCAGAAATCGTCAAGTAGCTGCCGCAGAAGTTCGATCAATGGAAAGAGAGATTTTTGTACATATATATATTCCTAGCATTTCCTTTTTTTTTTATTCTGCCAGTATATACTCTTTCCCTTTTCTTTTTTCTATTCTATTCTTTTCTATTCTTTTCTTTTCTTTTCTTTTCTTTTCTTTT